TTTAATAGTATTTGAGCTACCTGCTTTTTCAGTCTCTTTCTCAGTATCTTTAGTTTGAAGCACATGCTCTTGTTTTATTTTAATATTTTTCATATTATTAGGATTGCTGTCAGGAGTTTTTGGGGCTGGTTGAGTCTTCGTCGTCGTACTTTCATTTCGAGAATCGTAACTGGTTACTTCTTGCTTAATCCTTATAGCTATATCTCTAAGACTCTCTGTGCTGCTGACTGGGAATAAATCTAATGGGGCCTGAGCAATTGTTTGCAATTGCTGTTCAATTTCATCATCAACCTGTGGTATATCATTTTGAATGGAAGGAAAATTGGGTGGAGTTCCTTTAGCTGAGAGGTCATCATTCTCAAGGAAGTTGTGGTCGACAGCCACATGATACTGGCGGTCTAGTTCAGCAAATGTATCTTCATCTTCAGATATTTGGTCTGAACTGTTGAAAAGAGGCATTGGTTCTTCTTTGCCTTTAAAAGGTTCCTCAACAGGATTCTCTAAGCTTTTCCTTAGATTTTTCCTTTGGTTTTCTATACTCTGTCGTCTGTCCTCAATGGCCTCATTTCGTTTTGATGGGCGCCTCTCAAATAAAGGCTTTACATCTTCATATTGTGGATTACGATAATCATAATCATAGTTCACACTGCTACCATCTACAATATCAACTCTATTTAAATTATCATAATTAATTGATGAAGTTTGGCTTTGATCATAGCATCTGTCTTGTGTGTATTCATCATAATTGTAATTATCTCCATAGAGGTAATTTGATTGGTCATCTGTTTCCTGTTGAGGGACCTGATCTTCAGGAGTGTCATACCTTTGGTCTAAATCTGAAATCTGAAGTACCCTGCTTAGCTCGGCCATTACAATGGGCTTAATATCCTCGAGTAATACAGTATCTTGTGGGTCTAATAGACACTGCATTTGTTTCATGAAAGTGTCCTCATAGATTGTATTCTTGTCATTTTGTATGAAGTCAGAGCTTGTACTATACAGAGATTTCTCAGCTACAGATCTTAAGTGACGATTCAGACTATTCTGTGACTCAGTAATTAAACTGCTGATAGCATATTCAAATTTTGTCGACGAACCTGGATCATCCATGAGTTTATGCATTTTGTCTTTATCCATCTTAAACAATTGATTAACAATATGTGATTTCATTTTATCACAATTTGATTTGACATTAGGTTTAAGTCTTGGAGTTCTCTTTTTAGGTGTGGGCTCTGGCTGAACTTGTGTATTTACAGGCTCTCTCACCTCTGGCTCACTGTTTCTTTGAGGGACCGGTTCATCTTGGGATGTCTGTGGCTCATTGCGGTTCATTAACCTTTTCCTGATTATATCTACAGTATCATCTACAGAACGGCTAAATGATGTGTTATTATTACTGCTATTAGGTCCAGAAGTACTGCCATAGTGATCTGAAGCTGGTGGCCTGTGGCCCGTGTAATCAGTGTATTCTACAGCGGGTACCTTGTTTCTTTCTGAGAAATCCTGTCTATAAGGTTTTTGATTCCTCTCTTCATAAGAGCACTTTTTATAAGCAGGAGGTGGATTTGTCCATTGTGGTATGCGGGGCTGATTGAATGTATCTGGTTGCACAAGTGGGGTTAGTCGATGGTCTATGTCTCCCATACTATTGACATGGCAAGCCTCAGGCTGAGCATCTTTATAGAAACTAGATGAACCTTTGTATGTGTTACTATTATCTTTGGATCTATCTCTATGATGGGAATATTGGTTTTGGTAACCTTGTCTTGACCGCTGATGGTGCTCTCTTTCTGGAATTCTCTGATCAATTTGGTGATGGCTATCTCTATATTTATGTCTTTCATGATGTTCTTGTCTTCCATGGTCTTCTGAATGTCCTCCATGGGATGAGTAAGGCTGCGTACTTCTTTGGCTAGAACGTGAGTTTGGTGGCGGGAATCTGAAATACAACATTTTGTTTAATAAGAAAACATAACCCAACAGAAATTGATACAGTGCGATTCAATTAACATTGAATCTATGCTGCATGATCTACAATTTAGGAGTTTTATTGACGTTTTGTCGTATATACATACACAGATTTTTTTTAAATTCAAGGTACACGCGATTGGCGCGTCAGTGATGCAATGTTCACATTAGCTGAGTTATAGTTTAAATATGCTCACCTGGGGATATCGAGTAAAGGATAGGTCCTAGGCGTTCTAAACCTTTGTGCTCCATTGCCTCTAGGCCTAAAATGCCTTTGATTTTCACTTCGCCATCCTCCGATGCCAGGATGACCTCGCCTCATTATTTCACAACTAACACATAATTAGCCACAACACACCGACACTCCGATTTCACTTAATTGTAGTGTTTGAAATATGTATTTTATCGCACGAAATAAGTTGATTATCACAAGAAAAACAAGTTTGATCAATTGTCGCGCCGAATAAAAATACATACACGGACATGGAATCCATTTGACATTAAATATGAATAATTGCCAGTAATAAAAATGTCAAAGTCAAAATCAACAACAATCAACATCAGATGCATCAGATACTTCAACTTGACTGCTAGCTTTTTCGTTACTAGATTTGTAGAATTTTTGTAAAGAAATATTTTTCGGTTTCACCCTGAAATAATATAATTTTCATTATTTTTTAATATTTTCTCTTAATGTGGTTGTACTTTTTATTTTTTGATATCATCAATCTAGGTAAGGTTTCGTCCATGAAACAATATGTTTTATTTTAAAAACCGATTGCTGACATTTCTTAACAATATTTATTTTTTTTGTTTAGAGAATTTTTTAGTTCCTTGCTTTTTCACAAGTATTAAAAAAAATTAAAACTACCAAATCGAGTAACAATTATTTACAAACCACTCGTTTACAGACATTCCTTTTAACTGTAATAGACATTTTATACACAACCCTTGCGATTGTATTATAACTTTCGTTTCACGAAACCATTCATATCCGTATCCTAATAAAATACCGATGTCGATTTTTTTAGAAAGATATTACAGAAACATGTCCCCTAGGCCCGCCGCTAGCTCCCTTTTTAATGGGTGGGTAAAAAGTCATCAAATGACTCTTTGAGGAAGTGACTCTTCTAACTTACTAACTAAAAACCGCCCCATTTCTTCCAACAGTTGCTCTCGGAAATGATAGACGACACTCGATTATTTCTTGAATGTGTTTGAAGACGCTCCATCGTCTTCGAGGACGTCTGAAAAATTTCGAGTAACTCACGTAAGTGTTTGAAGACGCTCGATAGATTTCGAGTTGCTCCTGAAAATAATCGAAGACGCTCGATATTTTTCGAGTTACTCTCAAAAGTGATTGAAGACGCTCCATCGGTTTCAAGAACGCTCGATAAGACTTCGAATTTAGTCATTATACGTGGGCATTATCAGTGAGCGCCACTGACCGGTATAGGGCGCCACGCGTTTTAAACTGTCAAACACCGAGCGGTTACCGGTGACCGCAACCTATTGTTCTTTAATTGTGTCTATAATGACGGTACTCGACGAGGAGCTCAGAATGATTTTTGTATAGGATCTAAAGCGCCATCAACCAGGAGTGGGCGGCGTGTAGTAGATTCTCCTTATTTTAACAGTCCTGCCTTTAACCTGCAACCGATTAAGGATACTTGTATATAATTTGGGACGCCACGCGCTCCCAACTGGTATAGGGCGGCAAAAAGTAAGCTGAGAGGAATTTTTGTATCGGCTTTGGGGTGCTATTACGGGTATTGGGAGGCGAATTTTAAGATTATCCAATTTTTATAAGTCCTACCATTTAAAGAAACCGATCTTTAGACTTGTATAGAATTTGGGGCGCCACTGAACGGGAGCAGGCGGTGAACAATTTTCGGGTGATTCCAAGTTTGATATTGCACCTTAGTCTTATTCTTAACTGATGACGATAGATACATCACAACGCTAATATTGCTAGCGTCGAGTGGGATTTTTTCTCGGTGATGATATTTCTTATGCTTTCTGCTTACTCTGGACAGTGATTTTGAATAGTAGGTAACGAGTCGCTCGATTTGGCGGCCCCATGATCGTGCGCCCGTGTGCTGTGCACGCTTTTTTGTGTTTGGTACTTATTGATGATGACATGGAAGAAGCCTGCTTCTCATGCATGAGAGTGCACGTTTGAAATCTACCAATGGCAAGTACCAATGGAACTTTTTCCCAATTATTATGTGCTTTCTTAGATTATTTAGACACCACTGAAAAACGGAAACTTGGGCTTATAATTTCAAATTATAACTTTGAAATTGCCAACCCGCATTGAGTAAGCGTGGCGATTAATGCTTACACCTCCTGCGCGCGAGAAGAGGTCAAGAGGCCTTTGATCAGCAGTGGCTACTTATAGGCTGTTGTTGTGTGACGTGATTTATGCCCGAATACTGAAACATTACTCAATTTTAAGTCGCGCTTAAGTATAGTTCTGTCTCTACAAATTCTTTGTAAAATGACAGAAACGGCACGATATTTAAGCACGACTTAAAATTGAGTAACGTTTCAGTATTCCAGCATTAATTTGATATTAATTAAATATATCACAGAAGAATAGAAAACAAATCAAACAAATGTTGCCCGTTATATTTATTATAAAGTGAAATCAGCACATAAACATAACTGGCAACACTGCTGACCTATTGATTCATGCAAGGCCATCCAATAAATAAAAAAATAGTCTCTTCCGTTTTGAAGTAAAAGTACATACGTGTTACGTAATAATTGCATTTATTCCATTGTAATCATAAAAGTAATTAATCCACTGGAAATGTCAAGTTGAACTTTACGCAAAACATCGTGTTTTACAGAAGCCCTTACGGAACCGTGAGGTTACGATGTTATTGTTAAACTTAAATCCAGTTTTAGTTTCTCCAAGGCATACCTACAAATTTAATTTTGAAATGTAATTACACATTTCAGAACTATCTTAAATAAATTCATAGGTAATCTGCGCGAGACTATAACCTAGACTTGTCCGTATATAACTAAATTCCCGCAAGAATTGAAGTTGGGTCTTCAACTCCTGACTTTACTTTTCTTAGGAATAGCACCGCTTCGCGGCCATCAATCAACCTGTGGTCGTAGGTCAGAGCCAGGTACATCATGGGCCTGATTTCAACCTGAAAAAAGAAACTATATGACAGATTTACGCACCCAAGTGGACTTTATTCTTAAAAATCTACAATTAGCATCATGACCAAGACAGAATTATTTCTTTAGGTTGTTGCCACACCAATCGATCGATCGTCGATGAATGGAAGTGTGACCAGAGTGATACCACAGCCTCACAGAAAACCGACGTGAAGCAAAGCTTGCGTTGTGTTTCATCGTGTGAGTGAGGTTACCGAAGGCCCAATTACCCACCCACCCCCAAATCTCCCCAATCCCCAAATCTCCAAAAATCCTTAAACTCCTCATACCCAAAAGGCCGGCAACGCAGTTGTAACGCGTCTGGTGTTCCAGGTGTCCATGGGCGACGTCGATTGCTTACCATTATATAGGTGATCCGTCTGTTCGTGGCCCGCTATCACTTGAAAAAACCTTGAAAATGGTTCGATATTCCATTATATCCAAAATGATCAAGTACCTATAGGGCGTACCTTGCCGGATACTGCGACAGGTCGTGGTATGATGGCGTGCATGCCTAATATGGCCGACTGCGGTAGATTGATTATGGGCATAGAGAGTAGGGATCCAAATACTCCACCATTGCTCAACGTGAAGGTTCCACCTTGCATGTCAGAAGGCGAGAGTCGACCTGTTTTTGGGACAGTAGTATAATTACAATCTTATTGTCGGCACCATTGATTAAATTTTTTACTTAGGTACTATCTACATCCCTCCCTGGTTATTCGCGACGATTTAAATTTTATTGTATTGTCAGTGAATGAAAAAATAACTAAGGACTGGTGATGACCAGTCTTACGATGGTAAGTTAAGAAGGTTTTTTTTTAAGTGGGGAAAATCATCGAATAACTTCTCCCGCCTAGGTGAGTCGGGAGGGAGTGTCAGACTCTTACTGACTAAAAACCATCTCGTTCCGCTAGAACCTTCGCCTCCAGATCCCACGGAAGACGTGGGCTATGGCCATTAGTCTAAGTATAATTGCAATCGACCAGGAGTTAGTAAGTTTATTGACTCATAAAAAATATGAAACAGAATTTTGATACGTTACCATCCCTAGCTTTCTTTGCTAGCTCATTCATAGCAAGTTCGATTCGTGGATAGTCCATAGAATCTACGTTACGAATGATGGGCACGACTAGTCCACGAGGTGTGGCCACTGCGATGGATATGTCCACATAGTCTCTGGAAGATTGTAAAATAACTGAACATTTTAAAATAAATTATGTTTAATGATGTAAAACTATTCTAAATTGTCCAATTTTTGTCAATTATGTAAGGGTATGTTCATATTCCTTTAGTACCTTATTAATTGAAAGTAAAATAAAATTGAAGTTTGCAAGACTCAATCGATAAGCTATTTGTCAATTGGCCTCACCACCATCACCCGAATGGTTCACTGCCGAACAAAGGCCTCCCCATTCGCTGGAGTAGCAACTAAGTTTAAATATATTGAACGAATATAAATTGACAAATAACGTAAATGAACACATTAGGACAATACGCGGCTTTAAGGGCTCGTACACAAAACTGCGATGCGATGCGATTTCGTGCGACAAGGCGTCTCCCTGGGTGACCATTCCTTCAACGACCGTCAACTGTACTAAACGTATTTTAAATTGAGAAAACTAGGTCGTGACATGAATAATAAAAAGAAGTGATGGATAATAAAAGTATGAAATTCTGTTATTGCTTAGGAGATACAGGAAAAAGAAACAGGAAGATAAGATTTTGATGCGCGATACGAATCAAGTCACAAGGTCTTGCGATACGTATAGGGAGCTCGCACACTTTTGTTTTGTGCACGAGCCTTTAGGCCAGGTTCAGATGGCAAGTGTTAGTCGTGTATTTTTAACGCAAGTGAAACAAGTGAGTTTTATTCAGCCCAAAGCCTAGCCTGAATAAAATGTATGTAAAGTGCTTGCAGTTATAGTTACCAAAACGTGCGCTTAACCTTTCCCATCTGAAAATGGCTCTAGGTAAAAGGTTCTCTGATAAACCTGGCTGGACGGTGGACCTCTCCAATTGGACTGTAACAGCTGTTCCTCGCTTAGTAGCGAGCATCTTATGGTAAATATTCTATGTGGATGAGACCTATTTTTTTTTTTTTTATGGGGTGAAAATCATCGAATGAGTGCTCCCGCCTGGGTGAGGCGGGAGGGAGTATCAGACTCTTACTGACTAAAAACCACCCCGTTCCTTCTTCTGCACGTCGAGCCGGAGCCCCGGTTACCCGTTAGGTTCTCCGCGACTCCGAGGATGAGACCTATAGTCCAGTGAACTGTCAAGTGTCAGTAGCCTAATTTGGTTGATGTGATATTTTGGTTTCTCTAATTATAGTATGACTAAGTACCGATAGACAATGTCTTGGTTGATTATAACTCCATTGACGACTGGCTGGTCCATGAGAGCGTTCGCTGCAGCCTTTATGAACGGTGACATGAACGACAGCTTCACGCCATATTTCTGTGTAAACGTTTTTAAGTTTGCCTTGCGGAACGCCATTAGTTTGCTGAGGACATAAGAATAAAATCTTAATCTGTTAGGTTTATGATGCAAAATTGCCCTCTTTCAAAAGGCTGTCAGTAGCTATGCCCTTGTAACTCATCTGCTGTTCCTAGTGTCCATAGGCGCCGTTCATTGCTTACCATCAGTTGATCTTTCTGCTCAAGCCCTGAAGTCCTTGGGAGTGTAGTGGTAGATTCAGATTGGTTTGTTTCGAAGTTTGAAAAGGTAGATCCCATTCGATGATAAATAATAATTGGGTGCTTTCCTTAATCAAAAATAAATTATTTCGACTGTTCAATACAATAAAATATTAAAAAATAGTCACATTTCATTAATTGATTTTATGACCAATTTAATTTTAGTATTTTTTCAGCAAATTTTCAAGAAATAAGTATGCTGTTTGACGCTAAAAAAACGTGACGTCACAATACACAATCTCGTACAATTTTCATAGAAAACGAACTGTTGTTTTTGACAGTTCGAAAAAAGTATTGAATTTGACTACTTGGCAAGTACTTAATTGCGTACCTCATATCACATTCGTTGAAGGTTGTTAACATAGCGGTTGTATTCTGCGCGTCTTTCAGCCGCTCTGCTATGCGTAAACGCATTCTATTCATAGGAACTGGATGCTCGGTGCGAGTGCCCGATATTGATTTCGTAGGATCACCAATTTTCAAAGCAGCCAACTATAAATTAACAGGGTTATTAACATTCTTAGTTCGGCTTTTACTTCACATGAAGTCGCTGTGTAGATCACACGAAGAACCGAGTCAAAAATTGACCGATTGATCATTTTTATAAAAAAAACCACATAATTTTATGTGATTAATTTGTGGCATTGATAACATATATTTAACTTGGGTTTTGATGGCTGAAGAATTTGGGAAAATCACGTATTGTAAAAAAATGTAAAGTATTAATTATATTTATAGGTACCCTACCTACATACTATATGGTTTCTATAAAGTTTAGTATCGAAGAAGGAATAATGGTTGCTAAATCTGTGTGTGCAATAAAGTATAAACAAATAACTCTCTGAACAAATCTATCACTGGAGATTTTTTGTTAATACTTTATATAACCTAGAAGATCAGCATAAATCACAGCGTATAATTACTAATTACAGCTGGAGGTTTTGCTGCTGTGCCTTTAATACGTGCTGCGACACGAGGGGCCGCGGCTGCAACGGGGGCAGGTCGCGCGGCGGCGGGTGCAGCGGCGGGTGCAGCGGCGGGTGCAGCGGCCGGAGCAGCTTGTGGTCTTGCAGCTGCCGGAGCTGGAGCTGGAGCTGGAGCTGGAGCTGCTGCCTTAGCCGGAGCCACGCCTGTTACATTCACCTGTTAGGAAGAACACTATTTATTTATTGTTGTGTGAGTGTGTGTATGTCTTCTTTTGTGTTTCTGTGAGCAATTTGTGTTGGTACCCACAGTAAAGTATGCCTAATACATAACACGTTAAAATATTTTTATCACATTTCATTTAGATCAAGTTGCGAGACGGCTATAAAATGAGATGTTTATCTTTAAATCACACAGGTAACTATGTTATAATTTAAGCCCCATAAAACCGTTGCAATAGTTAGATGCAGTATATAATATAGTTACTATAGAAGAAGACCCAACCAATTTAAACTTTAACCGGTACTTAGGTAAGAACAAAATAATTAAAAAATGAGACCGAAAAGAGTTTTTGTCCAGACTTGATAGAATCGCCTTGTTTTACGAAAAATTTAGTAATGGTGCCATGTCCAGGGCACATGATCGGCAGGGCCGTCTTATCCGTTTCAATTTCCATTATCACTTCATCCATTGCGACGGCATCACCCTCCTTCTTGAGCAACCTGAAGAACCATACAATCGTAAAATTAATACTGGGATTAACTATGGTCAACTGAAGTGGCAGTAGGGTAGGTACTACATTCATCCCAAAACCAAGAGCTGTTGAGGTAGATGCGTTTTGAAACTTCTAAAGATAACCGTTAAACGGCTGGCAGTAGTTGAATACGAAGAACTGGAGATTGAGCGTAGTGGCTATTGGTAAATTCTATCTATCTAGAGATGAAAAGAGTAACTAGAACTTTACAGTAGGCATGCAGTAGCAACTAGAACACACTTACTTTGCATCTCCACTGCTGACAGAATCAGGGAACGTAGGCGCTGATACAGTTTCTTCGCCACTCAAAACTGGAGAAATGTGCACTCTTCGGGATAGCTGCATAGTCATGGGTATGTGTGTATTTCGCAATCTGGAGGACGAAACGTAAGCAATAGAGATACTAGTTCATCCCGGTAACGTATATACGTTTTTGCGTGCATTGTCGATGTTTGCATAGTCCAAGAGGGTGTTAAAACGTCATACTTGTAACTTAAGCAAGGAATAAAACAAGTACTAAACACTAAAGGAAATTGTCAGACACGAGTTGGTAACTGGGCATAATTTTATTGGAAACTAGCGAGTGGAATTCGTTGCCAGAGTCTGTTTTTGACGTAGATGTATCGTTGTGGTGCTTGTCTGTCGTGGTGGCCCGGAGGTTTAAGACGCCCATTTCTCATGCATGAGGAGAGAGGAAACCTGGGCTTATAATTTATAATTATAAGTTTGTAATCGCCAACCCGCATTGAGCAAGCGTGGTGATTAATGCTCAAACCTTTTCCGTGTGAAAAGAGGCTTTGCTTAGCAGTGGGCATTCATAGGTTGTTGATGGTGATGATGATAGATGTATCGTTGGTTAATACGTCATCCTCAACCACTACAATACTTACAAGGAAATATTAAGAATAGGAATTTTACTGTCAGAAAGGCTTTTAGGAGGCAGAAGATACCATTAAGGAAATAAATAAATTTTCATCTCCCATCTAGACAGGGTTTCCAGTTTTGTTGCTCAAGCCGTAGTGAAATTAAACTCACGTCAAGTACTGCAACTGGGTGGGTTGGTGGTATCGCCTGCATATTATATGAGTCCTGTTCAAGGGAGTCCCCGAAATGTATTTCCTCCCTCCAAAGACCTGGAAAAATTTCTTTTTATTCCAAAATTTTATAATTATTATTTCTTCTTCGACCTATATTGATCTATGACTGAGTAAGTTGGGATTATGTTCACTTCAAATTCAAATATAAATTCAAATCACTTTACTGCGTCTATAGTGTGTACAATTTGTGATTGTGTGATTTACAATTTTTAACAAAATATGTTCCAACTATAGGCCCTTTACTTCTTCTTTAAGACCTTGATGATGTTGTCAATTCCACCTTGCCTATTGTCGATCCACTTTTCAGTTCACATTTCTGTTTCCGATCATTATTTGCAAGTCAAAACTTTGGTCCTATTTGGTCTTTTCGTGGTAATGATTGACAGAACAGGAGGCTCAATGCTAGCATTTTTACACACTGACACTGAACAAAATGAAGTATTTTTAAATGTTCCTACTATTTCAGGAAGGGTTATCTAACACAGTACAGTGTCATAAGTGCCTACAGATGTTTTACAACTTTTAATCCGCGCAAAATGACTACAAAACTTATTATTAACACTTTTGTGATTATGATGTTTCTCACACGAGGTTTATATTTCTTAAACATGTTCAATAATTGATTTCTGTGTTGCGACACTTTTTCTACGATATTCCACTTACCACTCGTATCGTAATTGCCTTTCTTCTAAACATTATCAGTGTTTGAATTAAATAAAATTGCTGAAATAGGTAAATCGGGTCTTTGAAAATAATAAATTTAATTACAAAAGAAAATCAACGATATTCAAAGTCATTCTTGATGTATGCTATTCTTTCTTTGTGTATCATTTCAGGCCACAAACTTTAGAGGTTTAGTTTTAAAAAGTTTTTATTTTGTATTTACAGTTTTTATTATTGAGACTAGCTGTTGCCCGCGACTTCGTCCGCGTAGATTAATGACTTTTGACAGAATTAACCAGAATCAATTCAGTGCCCAAGTAAGATTTACCTATTTTTAAATGATTTATCGTAGTTTCAATAAATAAATAATCCCGCAGGGATCTTACCAGTACAGTGCCCGATCACGTAAGGTTTGAGTAATAAAAACTATTCTATCGACTATTGTTGTACCGAATCTCTCTAGAATAAGTTCAGTGGTTAAGAGTTAGAGAGTCCTGGGGTATTGACGCATAGTTCCCGTTCTCGTGAGACATCTGTGAAAAAACTATCATACGTTACCCAGGTCCCAAATCATCGTTTTACCGAATGTAATTCAAAAAGATTCAATGATTCTAAATTCAATGGCTAAGAAGATTTATACAAACTCTCATTCCCTATTTTATCCCCTTAGGGGTGGAATTTATCAAAATCCTTTCTAAAGAGATACCTATGTCATAGCAACTTTATGCATGCAAAGTCTCAGCCCGATCAATTTAAAACTGGCAAAGTATCATACAAACTTTCACCCCCTATTTTACCCACTTTGGGGTGAGAATGTTCAAAAATCTTTCTAAAGGGACGTTTAAGTCATAATATCCGAATTTCACCCCGATCGGTGTAAAACTGACAAAGCTTCATACAAACGTTCATCCCCTACATTACCCCATTGGAGGTGGAAATAATCAAAATCCTTACTTGGGGATGCCTACGTCATAACATCTACCTGCATGCCGAATTTCATCTGCATCGGTGTAAAACTGACAAAGCTTCATATACACTTTCACCCCCTATTTTACCTCCTGAGGGGTGAAAATGATCAAAATCCTTTCTTAGCGGATGCCTATGTGATAACATCTATCTGCATGTTAAATTTCAAACCGATCGATTTAAAACTGACAAAGTCTCATACAAACTTTCATCCCCTATTTTACCCCCTTGGGGGTGGAAATTATCAAAATCCTTTCACAGCGGATGCCTACGTCATAACATCTATCTGCATGCCAAATTTCCATCCGATCGATTTAAAACTGACGGTCATACAAACTTTCACCCCCTATTTTACCCACTTTGGGGTGAGAATGTTCAAAAACCTTTCTAAAGGAACGTTTACGTCATATTATCCATCTGCACGCCGAATTTCAACCCGATCGGTGTAAAACTGACAAAGCTTCATACAAAAGTTCATCCTCTATTTTACCCCCTTAGGGGTGGAAATTATCAAAATCCTTTCTTAGCGGATGCCTATGTGATAACATCTATCTGCATGTCAAATTTCAATCCGATCGATTTAAAACTGACAAAGTCTCATACAAACTTTCATCCCCTATTTTACTCCCTTGGGGGTGGAAATTATCAAAATCCTTTCAAAGCAGATGCTGACGTCATAACATCTATCTGCATGCCAAATTTCAACCTGATCGGTTTAAAACTGACAAAGGCTCATATAAACTTTCATCCCCTATTTTACCCACTTGGGGGTGGAAATTATCAAAATCCTTTCACAGCGGATGCCTACGTCATAACATCTATCTGCATGCCAAATTTCAACCCGATCGGTTTAAAACTGACAAAGGCTCATACAAACTTTCATCCCCTATTTTACCCCCGTTGGGGGTGGAAATTATCAAAATCCTTTCACATCGGATGCTTACGTCATAACATCTATCTGCATGCCAAATTACAACCCGATCGGTTTAAAACTGACAAAGTCTCATACAAACTTTCATCCCCTATTTTACCCCCTTGGGGGTGGAAATTATCAAAATCCTTTCACATCGGATGCTTACGTCATAACATCTATCTGCATGCCAAATTACAACCCGATCGGTTTAAAACTGACAAAGTCTCATACAAATTTTCATCCCCTATTTTACCCCCTTGGGGGTGGAAATTATCAAAATCCTTTCACAGCGGATGCTTACGTCATAACATCTATCTGCATGCCAAATTTCAACCCGATCAGTTAAAAACTGACAAAGTTTCATACAAACTTTCATCCCCTTTTTTACCCCCTTGGGGGTGGAAATTATCAAAATCCTTTCTTAGCGGATGCCTACGTCATAACATCTATCTGTATGCCAAATTTTAGCCCAATCTGTCCAGCGGTTTGGGCTGTGCGTTGATAGATCACTATGTCAGTCAGTCAGTCAGTCAATCACCTTTGAATTTTATATATATAGAAGAAGAAGATTATTAAGAGATTTTGGGCCGATTAACCTGAAATTAAATCAACTAATAAGGCTATTTTGACACATTTCATTGATTTATTTTTTAAATAATTAACTACTATTTTATAAACGTATTTTACAAACCAGTTAGACGAATGTGTCCACAATTTCATTTAAAAATGTACTATTTTGGCTACTCGATAATAGATGGCTCTCCTAAACTTAGTTTAGCTATTGGTCGCTAGATAACAAAGATTTTTACTACCCTTCAATAGATGGCGCTTATAATTATTATAATTCTATTTCCCACTAGGTGGCGCTTTTAATGTAGTTTACGTTGTTTTTAATTGTACTACGTATAGTTATTTAATCTGTTTGTTTGTTTAAATTATTGTAAATGAATGTCCAAAGTTTCATTCCTTTCTGATTAAGAACAACCAAATAAAAGTGTTTTACCAAAAACCAAAAAAGCTGTCTCAGGTGCGATTCCCGGGTCGAGCGATTATTACTGGGTTTTAAAAAAATCTCAGTTTAAGGACGGAGTCTGGAATTGTGCCCCATACATGGCAATAGGTTCACCCTATTACATGGGACTCATAACATAACATACATAGTGAAAATTGAGAGAGTGATCTGTGCATATCTTATTTAGGTTTTTGCATTGCACTTAACACATAATGTAATCGTCTAGTAATCTAAAGTAAATGTAAGCGCCGTCATATAAATCTATGCATTTTATATACATAAGTAGGGTTCCAATTTGTGTTTTGAGGCATGTATATGCAATACACACTCACACTCACACACACACACACACACATACATATAATGTAAGTAAAATAAAACAACAAAATCAGTTAACTAAGTATTATTTATTTGTAATTAAAATAAAACACAAAAACAGTTTTTTAGGTATTTATTAGGTAACATCTTCATCATCAGCCTGTAATTGTCCTTCTGCTAAGAAAAGGCCCCTCTCTCTCGAAGAAGCATTAATCACCATGCCATCAATTACATGGCAAAATGGCGATTCCAAAATTAGCTGTTATAGTAACATAATGAAAAATATTCTTTCTATCTCTCAAACACTTATTTAACAGCAATTATGAAATCACTTCCCCAACTTTAATGGTAACAAGAGGTCGTTAAATTAATTAATTATTGTGTAGGGAGGGGACGTGAATGTATGAATGTATATTGGAGTGTATAGTGATGTGCCGTCTGGTCCTTTGAGCAACATTAGCGGTAGCAGTGACCACTCAAGACGACGATATGACGACCTTCTTGGATGTAGGGCTGCCCCTGAAATGTAAGGAATAAATGTTTTAAGTTCAGACGTTTTTTATTCATCTATCACTGTGTCAAACTCAAAGTCAAAATCATTTATTTCAATTAGGCCAGAATGGCACTTTTGAACGTCAACAAAAAAAAAAAAAAGTGAAGGTATTTGCTCATTCCAAGGTGTAGATTCCTATGGATAAGAACAAGCAAGAAACTCCATAGGTTACTCTTTTTCAATCAGTTTCACAAAACAATTTATTTAATTATATTTTGTCAAAAATGAAAAATAAATTGTTTGAATTTTAGCACACAGATATAGTACATATTATATCCATTTTTAATAATATAGTTTTGTCAAAATGTATCTACAATATTATGTTGCTAGAATAATGTTTTAGTGAGGAGAAGAAAGTTTAATCATTGAAATTTTTTTATGGGATAATCCTGTAAGCGATCTGACGGATCACCTGATGGTAAGCAATCGCCGTCGCCCATAGACACCCGCAACACCAGAGACGTTACAAGTGCGTCACACCGTCTATTTTTACCATGTTTTGTGAAATATGTTGTTAAGTTAAGCGTAAAACTCCAAAACAAACAGTTCAGTTGACCTACTTAAGTACCTAGTTATTTCTTTGAAAACATTCGACTAAATTAACAACTAAATCGACAATTTAAATTACATATTAAAAATACAACAAAATAAAATAAAGCGGCACAAATAATAATTAGACAGCCCTATCCAGTGCCCAAGGTACAAGGGGTGTCTCCCTCACCAATTTGCTAAGACTCGAGCAACCCGCATCTTTGATTAGGAATCTCCGCGACCGTTTCAAGCTATCGACTGCTCAATGCCCATTTATCTGCTTGTCTGTGCACCTAATACTTGTGACTGCTTTGACCGACTGTTACTGGCTTTCTATGGGTTTAATGGGGTTGTCTTTACCTATACGTATCCATACTGTATAGTTAGAAAGAAATACTATGACTGCCTCGTTGGCCGAGTGGTCGCAAGTGCGACTGCCGGGCAAGGGGTCTCGGTTTCGATTCCCGGGTCGGGCAAAGTATTACTGGGTTTTTAAAAAATCTCAGTAGTAGCACGGAGTGTGGAACTGTGACCGGTGTATGGCAATAGGCTCACCCTCTATTACATGGGACTTATAACATAAATGGTAAAAAGTGGGTGTTACATTGTACAGTGGCATTAAGTGCCGTAATGTGCACCTCTGTCTACTCCTTCGGGGATAAAAGGCGCGATGTTATATGATGTTATATACATAAAAATTGTAACGATTAAATGATTTAATACAAAGTATTCTATTCTAT